GCGCTTTTTGTTTCATTTCAACAGATTGTGAGTCATTTTTGGGATGAGAATTGCCATTTTTATATTGAAATAAATAAAAATAGCTTTTGAAAAGATTCTAAAAGCTTTAAGTATTCAAAATTGATACTTAGTTAACTTTTTATTGCGTTGAACTTTGTGCTCGAGCCTGTAAACGTGAGCTCGAGCCTGTAAACGTGAGCTCGAGCCTGTAAACGTGAGCTCGAGCCTGTAAACGTGAGCTCGAGCCTGTAAACGTGAGCTCGAGCCTGTAAACGTGAGCTCGAGCCTGTAAACGTGAGCTCGAGCCTGTAAACGTGAGCTCGAGCCTGTAAACGTGAGCTCGAGCCTGTAAACGTCAGCTAGAGCCTGTAAACGTGAGCTCGAGCCTGTAAACGTGAGCTCGAGCCTGTAAACGTCAGCTAGAGCCTGTAAACGTCAGCTAGAGCCTGTAAACGTGAGCTCAAACTAAACTTTTAAGCTTAAAATTCAAAAGTGTGCAGTCTATTAGCTGATTATCCATAGTTGTGCGCCAATTAGAGGCTTCAGAGGCTGAGAATTTGCGCTTCAGAGGCTTATGCAAAATAATTTTCTTTAAAAATAAAGTTCTAAATGAAAGCTTTCGTGCTTAAATGAAAGCTTCCGTTCTAAATCAAAACTCTTTCCAAATCGAAAAGAAATCCCAGCGCTAAATTTGGATAAAGCAGGTAAATGTAAGGATTGAGATAGGATGAAAGCCGCCGTGAAGGGATATTGAACAGAAAATGTAAGGAAGAGACCAGAATGAACGAATGAACGAATGAATGAAAAAATGGAAAAAGAAAGAAGAGAGAGAAAATGAAGAAAAATGGATGAATATCATTGAATATCATTGAGAGCTTAGGCAGAAAGAACCTTTTCTTTTTCCCTTTATCAACTCAATATTTGAATGGTTGCTCGGTTCTCTTCTTTGGAGTTTGACCCACTCCAGCACACATTCGATTTCAGCTCCTAATTCTATTAAATTACGATTCTTTTGTGTGTAACAGGATTTGAAATCAAGATAGCCCTAGATCCAAAGCTAAATAAGTCAATATTTTTGACTGGATCTGACTTAGAGCATCATTCTCAGACAGAATGATCAGAAATAACCCGGAAAAACCTTTTGATTCGATCTTTTTCCGATCTTTCGATCGAAAAACAAATAAAAATACTTTGTAAACTTTGTAATAATTGGTAATTGCAAAAGATTTTGATTCTAGGCCTTTTGTAAGTTCTAGGCGTTGAAAAAAACGGCTCCAGTGCTGCTCCTTTTGCACAAAACGCAGTTTAGAAAATTTTTAAAGTACAAAGATTTTAAATAAAATAACAAATTATTGACTCTGAATAGCCAAATTTGAACTTATTTTTATGTAAGACCATTTTTGTCATCAGAAATCTTTCTAGAAAACGATTTTCTAATGGGAATAGGAATGGGAATAGACTGGGCTTGTAATCATCTTTCATAGAGTCCACTTGTAATCATCTTTCATTTGTTTAAAATAAAAATTTTACATTTGCTACGTTGAGAAGAAAGTTCACAACACAGCTAATACTTCGGTAAATATTTTGAGCTGGATTTCGGGAGGCTAAGATTTCCGGCTGGATTTCCGGGGTGGCTAAGATTTCCGGGCTGGATTTCAAGGCGCCTAACATCTCAACGAGCTGGATTTCGGCAGCTAAGATTTCGGGCTGGATTTCGGGGAGGCTAACATTTCCGGCTGAATTTCGGACGGCTAAGATTCACCGGCTGGATTTCGGGTGGCTAAGATTTCGGGCTGGATTTCAGGGAAGCTAACATTTCCAGCTGGACTTCCGGGAGGCTAAGATTTCCGGCTGGATTTCGACGGCTAAGATTTCCGGCTGGATTTCGGGAGGCTAACATTTCCGGCTGGATTTCGGGAGGCTAACATTTCCGGCTGAATTTCGGCGGCTAAGATTTCCGGCTGGATTTCGGCGGCTAAGATTCCCGGCTGGATTTCGGCGGCTAAGATTTCCGGCTGATTTCGGCGGCCCCTTTTAAGATTTCCGGCTGGATTTCGGCAGCTAGGATTTCAGACTGAATTTCGGGGGGCTAAGATTTCCAGCTGGATTTCGGGCTGCTAACATCTCGGGCTGGATTTTGGTCGGCTAAGATTTCCGGCTGGATTTCGGGTGGCTAAGATTTCGAGCTGAATCTACCTTCTATTCAATTCTATTCAATACAATTTTTAGTAATGCTGACTATTTAATCCATTAAATGAAGGATCAATTCAGAAAAGATCAAATAAGAGAAAAGTAAAAGAAAAATAAAAGAAAAGTAAAAGAAAATTAAAGAAAATTAAAGAAAATTAAAGAAAAGTAAAGAAAAGTAAAGAAAAATAAACTCAAAACTGAAACTGAGACTGAAGAAGGCGAAAACAGTGGAATGAGTCAGTGGAAAGATAAGGAAATGTTGTCGAAATATGTTTTTGTCTGGGGTTTACGCGGGCGTTGCTTGTGTTGAAATGTCCTCTTTTCTCTCTTTTCCCTTTCCCCAAAAATCCCCATTGACCTATTTTCTACTCACTCACAATACTCAGAGAGTAATCTATTGTTAGCCACATTGCCTAGAAACTTGACACTTGCACTAACATTTGAATTTGAATAAAACACTCGTTTTCAGGCTTTAAAAAAACTTTAAAACATTGGTACTTTGGTATTTAAAAATTCAACAATAAAGCTTTCCAGGATTTTGATTTTTGTACCAAAGTCTGGTCAAATCATGAAGAAAGGCAATCTGACTGGGCCTTGTCTAAATTGGCTTAACTTTGAAACAAGCTTAACCTATACTTTTACAGTATCGCCCTCAAGTATTGCTCATTGTCAGAGGCAAACTACGTTTTTTTGCGTTCTTCTCGCCACTCACTTCGCTTCAGCGATTTGGTCACACTTGATTTCATTCAATAGATATTAATCATTCAAAAGGCTATCAAATGGAACCAATTGTAACCAAATCGGTCAAGTGGGTGTTTTTCGAGAAAACGAGATGTTCCATGGAGCAGTTCCATGGGGCAGTTCCGTGGGGCAGTTCCATGGGGCAATTCCATGGAGCAGTCCCATGGGGCATTTCGTGGGCAGTTCCATGGGGCGGTTCCATGGAGCGGCTCAGCGGGGCGGTTCCGTGGAGCGGTTCCATGGAGCAGTTCCGTGGAGCAGTTCCGTAGGGCAGTTCCGTGGAGCGGTTCCGTGAACGAGTTCCCGTGACAGTTCCGTGGAGCAGTTCCGTGGAGCAGTTCCGTGGAGCGGTTCATGGAGCAGTTCCGTGGAGCAGTTCCGTTGGAGTTCCGTAGAGCAGTTCCATGGAGCAGTTCCATGGGGGAAATTTAGAGAGATAAGGAACCAAATTTGTTGAGATAAAAGCCAGATTTAGAGAGCTCAGAACCAAATTTAAAGAGATAAGGAACCAAATTTAGAGTTAACGAACAGATTTGTTGAGATAGGAAACAAATTTAGAGAAATAAGGATTTTCTTAGGGCCCGATTTTCTCAGGATTGATGTTTTGTCACTCGATCCAGCCTCAGAATTGGTCAATAGTCACTAGGAAATGCCTTACTTTGAAATGTGATATTGACAGTGAGAAAAGCTAATAGTAAGCATAATAAAGCTTTTAAAAATGGTTTTGGACTTTTTAAAATGGTCTTTAAAAGAATTGAATTGAATTGAAATAAAGCCGTAAACGAAGTGGGCATGCTAAATAAAGTTTGAGTTGGTAAAAGATCGATAAACAATGGAAATGATCGGATGGATCAATGCAACGGATGAATGGAAAAAAAAGAAGAGAAATCTCCACGACAACCATATTTTCATATTCATCCCTGATTTCATCCATGAAAATCCCCCCAGGAAATCCTTTTCGATTTTGGGATTTGTGCTAGGCTTTTAGCATGAAATTCACTGGCACAGAAATGGCTTTATGCTGACTTTATGCTTTGACTTACAATCAGCTTGTTTACGTTTACTTTCAATGTCAAAACTATTGTATTTACTTAAGAACTTATTTACTGTTTACTATTTTCTGTTTACTATTTACTTATTACTTATTTACTTATTACCTATTTAGTTACTACTTATTTAGTTACTACTTTTTTACTTATTACTTACCGTATTTTCTCTAACAGTAGTGCACCCCGAGCCGAGTTGATGACTATTTACGGCTTCCAAAGTTTTCCCAGAAGCTCAACACTCAAATCCCCCACTAGATCTCATCGTCAGCTACATTTTCCGACCCCACATCGATAGGTTCTCATAAGCGGTTCTCGAGATTTCGAGCAATTTAGGCGACGCTCTGGGTGCAGCACCACCGCAAGCATCACAGCTCCTCTTCATCCGACTCTGATTCCTCATCATCGTCATCTGAAGATGACAGCCATGGAGGCAGACACAAGAGAGCCTGAGGCAGACACAAGAGATCGCCTGGAGGTGGAGATGATCAAGGACATGGCGGACATGGAAGGTGAGAACTTTATCTCCAGCTTAAACCATACTTTTTATAAGCTGTTTGAACTTGAAGAAAAGTTTCATATCACTGGCAATTCAAATGGAAATGATACCATGGAAAAGCTTGATATCACTGGCAATTCAAAAGCAACTTTCAGAGATGGAGGACACGGAGAAGACGATCAAGGACATGGCGGACATGGAGGGTGAGAACTTTGGCTCTAGCTTAAACCATACTTTTCATGAGCTGTTTGAACTAGAAGGAAAAGCTTGATATCACTGGCAATTCAAAGCAACTTTCAGAGATGGCGGACACGGAGGGTGGGTGCTAGCAAGTTTTTCTTTTCAACTAGCGGCTACCGTAGCTCAGAAAGTTCACTAGTTCTTTTTTGATCCTTGGACTTTAAAAATATAGAATACTGTGGAATAAGTACAGTAGCTTCGACTTGCAAAGATGACGATGACCATCACGGAGGACATGGTAAGGGACACCACAAACACCGAAACAATAGCCATCAATCGCCACAATGGGCCAGAAAAAGAGATGGAACGTGGGTGGAGAATATTTTGATTCTGAGCTGTAGCCACTTGGATTTAGTACTCTTACATTTTGCTAAAGAGCGTAAAGTGAAAGATTTCACAGCTAACATTTGTCAAAATCTCATTATAGCAAAACCATTATAGCATTATAGCATTTTAGAAAAACCGTGACGTCACCAACCTCGTTTGTTTGTATTTTGATCCGTAAGTTTTGTAAAGTAAGAGGTATCGTTTTAAAGTGAATCTTGACGTTGTTCAATGTCATTTTAAAGTTTTCCTTGAAGATTCATTGAACTAAACTTTCAATTTCAGCTCTGATTTCACGACAACCACTGCTGCCCCAACAACCACTGCTGCCCCAACAACCACTGCTGCCCCAACAACCACTGCTGCCCCAACAACCACTGCTGCCCCAACAACCACTGCTGCCCCAACAACCACTGCTGCCCCAACAACCACTGCTGCTCTAACAACCACTGCTGCTCTAACAACCACTGCTGCCCCAACAACCACTGCTGCCCCAACAACCACTGCTGCCCCAACAACCACTGCTGCCCCAACAACCACTGCTGCCCCAACAACCACTGCTGCTCTAACAACCACTGCTGCCCCAACAACCACTGCTGCCCCAACAACCACTGCTGCCCCAACAACCACTGCTGCCCCAACAACCACTGCTGCCCCAACAACCACCAGTGTCGCCCCTGCGCGATAAACACATCGAAAAGTGAAAGAGCTTTTATTAAAATAAACTTTTGTAGCCTTTTGTCATGTTAAAGTATTTATACTAACACAAAAAAAAGCACAGCTAAATACAGTCGACGCTCGATATCGATATACTGACTCTCGATATGGATATACTGACTCTCGATATCGATATAACGACTCTCGGTATCGATATACTGACTCTCGAGATCGATATACCGACTCTCGATATCGATAACTGACTCTCGATATCGATATACTGACTCTCGATATCGATATACCGACTCATACTTACGGTTCCGGCCAAGTGCTTAATAAAATACCTTAAGTCGACTCTCGATATAATGACTCTTTTAATCGCTAATCGAGATGGGGAAAACATTAACTAATCGAGATGGGGAAAACAAAAAAGAAGGAAGTTGGATCTTGCGTTGAAGAGACGAATAATTGATGAGTCGATTTCAAAAGATCCGAAGAAATTGGAAGAGCAAAGCGAATTACCGCATTCAACAATTGCTGAAGAGGTGTTGATTCAATGAACAATTAGATTGTTTTACTTTTTAGCGTCGTTTGGTAGTATGGTGTTGCCTTCAAAAATTCGACGTCTAAAGTTTGTTGTAGTCTTTTTTAGGTTAAACTTTGACTCACATGCTTCGTCCTATTCTCGCCAGAAAATTGGGACCCGATGAGGTGGAAGATATTTCTGAAATCATTTAGATATCTCTGTTAAGACCATCTTAAAACAGATCATCATCTTAAAACACCACAAAATCATAGCAACTTAAAGAAATGAGTTGAATAAATAGAAAAATACCTTTCGTCGGATGCGTGGTACAGCGGTCTTCACAGAGATCGATCTCTGCATTGCTGCTGTTGCTGCTGGTGATGATCTGTTGATAGAGTTTGGGTTGTAGATTAGATCTAAACGTCATGAAAATGTTTGGCTTGGTGTAAAACCTCAAAAAACGGAGAAACTAGATGAAGAGTTGAGCGCTTGTCCCCTTCTATGTCCCAGTCATGCACTCCTCAACGACAGCTGCTGTGAACTCCATATTCTCATCATCAAACAAGTTGGAGTGCGACTTTTTCAAAACTAGGACGTGCAATATTAAACAACGTTTGCCACATAAGCCTCAAGGCTTTTGTTTCAAAGTTTCATTTAGAAATAAAGATCCAAGCAATCGACTTGCGGTTTTCCCTGGCCGCCGGTTTTCCCTGACCGGTTTTCCCTTTCAGAAAGCCGTATTATTTCTCTATAACCTGCCACTTCAAAAGTTCAGAAAAGCTCACGCTATCTATTTTTGAAAGCCAAGAAGTCAGGTAGTGAAAAATGATGAAAGTCAAAGTTGCAAAAATGCTTTTTTATTCATTAAACCGCAAGTCGATTGGTTGGATATTCATTTTTAAATGAAGCTTTGAAACAAAGCCTGAAGAGTTATGTAACAACAATACTAATGCTAGAAGAGTCTAGAAAGTTATAGTCAATACGGCAAAGTTTATGATGATTGATGATGATTCACTAAATTTTCACCAGATATTCCTAGATCCCCTCGAGCATCTTAAGAAGGAGATCCTTTTTCGATGGTGACTCGGGAGTTGAGGATCGGTTCGGCTAAAATTTCCCATCATCTAAGTTTTTCGAAAGCTACCGTAATCTGCCTTTAGTTTTATTCAATATATAAGATATATTCTTTATATTTCCCGTGAACTCATTAACCAATACCGACTAAAAGTGGGGTTGTGTCAACTCTAGTACGTTTATAGTAACTTGAATGAGACTCCACAAGATTGGATGACAACTTTCGTAATCAATTGTTTAGTTTGATTGACTGATCCTAAAATCAAAAAGTAAAAGTTCTATTAGTGTCATTTTCTTGACGTTCTTGTCCTAGAGAAAAACTGTGAAATGGTGCATAGAAAAATTAAAAATGACTTGACGGATTTGATAACTGTTTTAGTTTCAAAAGTGTTATAAATAAGTAAACATATCAAAGGAATGATGTCTCCTTCTGCAAACTAATAGACAATTATCAATACTAACTATAAGTTGTCAATGTTTTCAATGCTTAGATTACTAAGAAGTGTAATGAAAATCGCTTACTATTGCCAAATGGATCATTTTCGATGATCTGATCCGAATGAATCGAATCATCATCCATCCACTTCATCAGGGCCACCAGATCGGGTGCATTGTCCTCTGTAAACTCCCCTCTGCTAGCCATTTCTGATTTATTTGAAGTAGTGAGATATGAATTTATTACAGTATTCCAAGAAGCAAACACTGGCTTCTCACTGTGATCCATTGGATAAAACGCTGACTGATCTTCTCCCATTTAATGGGATTGCCGAAGCTAGATAATCGACTATAGCTAGATTTTCTTAAATCGAAATTTAGTTGAACAAATCTGCTAAGTATTCAACTGAGCACAAAATACCTACTAAAGCTTTCAGCTGTGTTTTCACATTCAGTTTCTCAATTCATCATTCCGCAGAACTAAGATGAAAAATTACTTGACGGATTTGATAACTGTTTTATTAGGTGTGTGAAAAAGTAATCCACGTTTTTAACGTTTAAATATAATAGACCATAAGTTTCGTTAAATAAAATTCATGGCATTCAAGCGTTTCCTTACGGTTGATCCATCACAATTTAATGTAAGACCTATTTCTGAAGAGTTTGAACGAGGGTTTTTCGAGAAGACAGCGTCTTATTTGGTCATCAGAACAGGTCTCAGGGCGACCGCCACGTGATTCATCTTCTAGACTTTCATTACCACCTTTGAATCGGAACCAAAACCTAGCGGTATCATCAATAACGGCGTCTTCGCCAAACGCATTCCGAATTCGACGTGCAGCCTCCGCAGCTTTCAACCCATTTTTGAACTCATAAAGCAAATTTGACCGAATAACGTATACCATTTTCAAACTAAAATGAAAGTAGTTTATTGTCAGTCCTTTTAACAAAATAAATATATCATTCGAAAGAGGAAAAATAAGCTTTTAAACGATATATATATATCGTTAACAAAAAAATTAAAAATTGTTTAGATGTATTTAGTTAAACAAAATAAAAATAAAAAACGTGGATTACTTTTTCACACACCTAATAGTTTCAAAGTTCAGTGTTATAAATAAGCAAACACTTTGAAAAACATTTCCAAAGAAATCACGTTTCATTTTGCAAATTACTAGAAAGTACTAAGTACTGTCAGTACTAACTAGAAGTTGTCAATGTTTTCGATGCTTAGATTACTTGAAAGTGTAATGAAAATCGCTTACCATGGATAAATAGTGGATCTTTTCCAACACCCCCTCAATTCGAGTAGATCGAGCTCACCGTTGACTCTTAACTCATTTTCTATAAACTTCATCGGATCATCGTCCTCCATAGGCTCCTCTCGCTAGCCATTTCTGGATTTAATTGAAGTAGTGAGATATGAATTTATTACAGTATTCCAAGAAGCAAACACATAAATTTTGTACAGCTTGTACATTTTGTAATTCAAACAATTAGTGAAATGATTTTACCATCAAGCTTTACCATCAAGTTTCATCCATCAAATCTCACAGTTGATACATAGGCGTTGTTGATTAAATCGATTTTTTGAAAACATTTCCACGTTGAAAAATAAATTATGTTTCTTGACGAACTCTACGCGTTTACGAGGCTTCATCAAGTAAACTCTTACACAAGTTGGCGTCTTATCTCAAATTAGTAAAGGGCGTTCTTATGCAATCAAAAACGGCTTTTTTTATTCAGCAAATCACTTTTGATTAGACCTGTTCACGAATTTTTACTGTTGTTGATCAATTTTAAACTTGTTAAGCACAGCTGAAAGCTTTAGTAGGTATTTTGTGCTCAGTTGAATACTTAGCAGATTTGCTCAACTAAATTTCGATTTAAGAAAATCTATCTATAGTCGATTATCTAGCTTCGGCAATCCCCATTAAATGGGAGAAGATCAGTCAGCGTTTTATCCAATGGATCACAGTGAGAAGCCAGTGTTTGCTTCTTGGAATACTGTAATAAATTCATATCTCACTACTTCAAACAAACTAGAGATGGCTAGCACACAGGATTGTTGTTTGTTTGTTTGTTTGTTTGTTTGTTTGTCTAATTGTTTGAATGTATCAAAAATGTATTTAAAGTCTGAAGTAAACAATTTTTCCCAATTGATTTTATTTGCAGTGCCTCGAACCCGGCACAGCAAAAGGGATTGAAATACTTTTTTGTGATTCAAACAATTAGGGAAATGATGCTTTGCCGTTTTATCCATCAAATCCATCGCTTTGCTATCAAGCTTTACCGTTTTATCCATCAAATCTCACAGTTGGTTTCCGAGAGTTGCCGATCGTTTCCTCGCTAATTGTTTTTATGAAGCCATTTTATTATTTCGCCATCGCTTAGCTTTTTTGCCTTCCACGCATCCTGATAAGCCCGCATCTTGTGTAAGCGCGATCTTGTGTAAGGGGAACAGTTCGTGACGCCCAATAAAAAACAGTTTATAAAATGTTTTATCCCCTTCTCTTCACTTTTCATTAGACTTTTCATTTCCATCACGCGTATAGGTCTCTCACCTCTCGGTCATTCACCCAAAATTTTTTTTGCCCCTATCAGTTTGCAAATTTGATTTTGCTCTTGAGTTCTCGCAAACGAAATGTTAACAGATTTTTGACATGCTTTGTTTTTTTGACACTGTTTGACATGCTCTTATAAAAAGACTTTTATTCTCATACAAATATTTCTTATGATCCCTAAACTTCGGAACAATATCGACATTTCATACCCACCATAGTAATCCAAATGGTCAATCTTTGAAAAACTTTAGCTTTCGAACCTTTCAAAGCTTATAGGATGGAGAATTTTTACTGTTGTTGATCAATTTTAAACTTGTTAACACATCAAGTAGACGTGTTCATCAAGTAGACGTGTTCATCAAGTAGACGCGTTCATCAAGTAAACTCTTACACAAGTTGGCGTCTTATCTCAAATTAGTAAAGGGCAGT